ATTTACATAAATTTAATTCTATTTGAGATTAGAAATGACTATTTAATATTAATTCTATTTTTATTTTTATTTAATACTAATTAAAGAATTATTTCAATTAAATTGAAATAAATAAAACTCAATTAAATGGAATAAATTTCATAAATTAAGAAATTGACTAAGTAGTTTAATAAATTATAAATACTAATGAATATAATTAATTGACATATGCTATACATTCTTTACTAAAATATACTCAAAACGGAAGTATCCCATTAATGGCGGACGACCAATCCGCATCCTGCAGCCTCGGTGTCTTATCCCTTACTTGAGGATCCCTATTTTTAAATGAACACCTGATGTTTGCGTGTTTGATGTGTTTAAAAAGAAAATTGCAAGACTTGACATTTGCAGCAAAATAAAATATTCAAAACTTATTTTATAGTAAAAATAGCAACACTATTTTATAGTAAAATATCTCATTGTTATATAAATCATTATGTAGAAAATTGTATTTTAAGATATGCTTTGTCACTTTTCTGTCTTTTCTGGAGATAAAAAGCATTAACGCTAAATGTCTCATTTACGTAGAAATGATTTAAATCCCTTATAAAGAAAGTTTTATATTTTTCTTTTGTTTTATAATTTGTATCTCTTTTTTTCTCACAATCAGTCTCTTCAAGAATATTTACTATACACTTAAAATATCTCGTGTAATATTATTATTTAATATATTTATTATATATATTTCGAACTATTAAGATTTCAACAAATGTATATATGTATATTATGTATACATACTAGGTACATATATTTTATAAATTTAATCTGCGTATGTATAATCTTCATTGATTAATACGATAAACTTGTTCGAATTTCTTGCTCAATTAATAACTGCTTACATTTTCTTAGTTATATAAAGATTAATGTGTAATATTAAGTAATATTAAGAAGTTCTGCCTACAAAACTTGAATTACATTTATCCCACAACGCTAAGTAAAGGATGACATTAAACTCTAGAATATCGTCGACGCGCGGTTATAAGCATTATCTAATAAATTAATTAGAGCTAATGTGTGTCGTTTTGAGCTCAGTATCCTAATGTGGTTTACCCGCTCAAGCTTGAGTTAAAATAGAGTATAGTTGCGGCTTTTACCAGCCACATATTCTCGGTATAATCTAATTCAATTGCAACAGGAATGCACCATGTGTAGTGTGCACTATGGTTCTCTCGCATTCAAATTACCCGAATATTTTCTTTCGATTGCTTCGCTTTATGCTTCGACGAGTGAATGAAGAATAAATGCGAATACATTGCGAGCGATTCTTACTTGACGAATAAAATATTTCCGACATTACACATTTATGGTTGCTGAAAAACGATGTACAATATCACAAAATCGAGCACGCGAAACTAAACAAAATTGTTGCGATAAAGAATGTATACCAGGATTCCGCCATTCCGACATAGAATGTGCACAAGCGCGCCGACAGGATGCATTCGCGTGCAGCATCCGATACCGGACACGCAAAAGCTCGAACTACGTGCGTGTTGTTTCGTGAGCTGCATGAGATAGGGAGAAAAAGAAAGAGGTAGAGGAAGAAACATATCATTTATTATTTGTACTGTGAAGTAAAATCTCTTTGAACATGCAATAAAACAAATGTTCCCGATTTTTTTTCACAAAAACTTATTGCAAGCCACACAATGTGTGTAGTAACGATATTTAACATATAAAAACAATATATAAAACAGGAAGAGACAAAGCAGAAAAAAAACGGGAAGAGAAAAAAATTAAATTTCAAAAAAATTAAAAAAAAATAAAAATAGAAATTTAAAAATGTAATAAAATTTAAAAAAAATAAAAATGTAATTTAATTTATAAAATAATTTGTCAAATAAAATCTATTGAAACGTGAGACTAAAATAACAATAAATTTAAAAATAAACGCAGAAATTTTTTCGCAAAAATGGAGTTTATTTTTAAACGACGAGATTGAATCAAATCGTCTATCTACAGGAAAAGGGAAAGAATTAGGATACCGTGAAGTTCCGGTATATATACTGTAAGATATGAGCGCATTTATTACCGAACTATAGCAACGTAATTACTTCAAAAAGTGTTATCAATGTTTTCGGTTCGGATTAAAATTGAATTAACCGACTGATTAAAGTCGAGCTTTCAGAAATTGAGTTTTGCAGAAATCTTTGTTCTTTAGATTCCACGAGTACATTATTTTCTTCGCTGTAACACTGATTTAGCCCTGTCTTACATTGTATTAATGACTCGTATATGAAGTTGTACTGCTTTATATTATACTTTTATAGGTATTTTTAATCCCCACAATGTTTCTCAAATTTGTATTTTCGTTACAATAACGATATTTAATAAATGATTATTTAATATTTGATATTTAATAAATGATTTAATATTTGCTAAGTTGTATATATAAGGTAATTAATAAACTAATGAGTTATTAAAAGCATATTTTAAGAGAAAGAAAGAAAGATAGAGAGGGAGAAAGAGAGAGAGAGATATTTAAAGTTTTTATTTAAAATTCCTTTTTTATAAAAGGAGATAACTTTATTAGCATATAATTATACTTAGATTACATTATATTATACTTACAAAACTATATTTATTTAAATAAAAAGAAATTATAGATAAAAATTATAATTTTAATTATGGATAAAAATTATAATTTTAATTATAGATAAAAATTATAATTTTTAAAAATTTGTTTTAAAACTTTTATAAATTTATTACATAAACTTTTTAAAATATCTTTTGATAAGAGAATTAATGGGACTAAAAAAATGCATGATGTATTATGTTCGTCTTGTGTATACAACGATTTATTATGATAAGATGGCAATTTACTAGGAGAAAAGGAAGGAAGTGATTAAATTGTTGATAATTTGAAGAATAGCTGTTATAGTAATGCATCATCATGTTGAGATATATTGTTGTAGGAATTTATGTCATAATGCGCGTGCGTTAATATCATGCATCGTAAACATTAACTGTCTACGCAGATTTATATTCATGTTAAGGCAAAATCTCTCTGTGTATCAACTATTCTTCTAGACTGTTAAATTTTCGAAATTTATAGTGCATCTAGTAAATCTGAAAGTTATGAGTTTTTTTATATTCCATATTATAATTCCATAATAAATTAAATTATTCACACATTATTTTTAGCACGTAATTCCATGTGTATACGCAATACTCCGTATATTCAGGTACAATTGTATTTATATTGTAAACAAAATTTTTTTCCCGGATATATCTTTTACACATTTAAGACTTAATTGGGATAAAATAAATGTTTATATTATTGCATTGCTGAATGAATAATGGAGTAAAAAATGGTAAATGGCGAATAAAATAATATATTAAATTGATTTTGATGATATTAGGGGAAATTGACAGAAGAATTTAGATACGCGCTCATTCATATGTATGATTTCATTATCGTCATACTGTGTAATTTTGCATTATCCTTATTCTTGTTAGACTGCAGAAAAGTTGAAATGTTATATATTAAAATGCACTGTCAGTGCATAACTTCATCGTGTGCATATCTGATTGAAAATTCCAAAGTTGCAAAATTAGCGCTGCGAGTTTGTCCGTTAACAATCAAAATTTACGGCATTGCAGTTCGCAAAGTTGCTGATATCCATCGAAAATGTCGCTTCGTCTCTATTCTCATTGCATATTCGACGCTAAAAACAACAGTATTGATAGCGGAAAATAATCTCATTTTGTCCCAATTTAGTTTCAATCTAACTTAAAAGCGTATTTAATTATAGATTAGTATTTAATTATAAAAGCGTATTTAATTATAGATTAGTATTTAATTCAATCTCTGATCTGCATTTCAATTTTATGAAACCTTATTTCAAGACTCGGTCATTATTTAATACTCGTATTTCTTCCGTTTTTATTTGTCTCGTTTATATTACTTGTAACTACTAGACTTTTGTCAAATATTGATTATTATGATGAAAAATCGGAATGTAATTTTCAAATCGTTGATCATACACAAAATTTGAAATAAATTCAACATTTGATAGAAATGTTATTAAAAATATTCCCTTCAATAGCATAAAACGCGGAAAAGTTTATTCTGCATTTCCACTTAATTTATCCGAGAGAAGTCGCCTCGTGTCTTCAATTACGCCATGAATCTCCCACCTACCTCCCCCGCGGAATAGTGAAAAATTACCCTCATTCTTATTCACGAGCGCTATTTTGCAGACTAATGATTTCGTAATCGGTTAGGCGGATCAAAAACGTGAAATAAACTTGTGTACTTGGTGAGCGTAATAAAATGTAAATTCGTACCATTTGTTTGCAATTGGCATCGGTCGCAGAATTAACTCTCCTTTGTCTTTGTAAGGTGGAACTATTATCAATGTTATTTATATTCTCTCTTGTTGACTAATACGTGCACTCTTTTATCAACTAAAAATTTGATCATATCAGGAAAAAAGTTGCATAGAATTTGCGAAGAATATATTAATGTAAAAATATAGTATATAGAAAGTATTCTTTTTTTTACAGTAACATTTTATTTATATTACAAAAAATATATTGATATAAAAATTAATGAGATTATTCCTCTTAACAATCTGTTTATTGTGTAAAAAATATAAATTAAAAAAATTTTACAATATCTTCTAGCTTTAGAAAGTTACTATAAAGACGAGAGTTGGGCAAGATTCTGAAAGTTATTTTAATCGAGATTGCAAAGTCAATCCCTATCCTGTAATCCCCATTGGCTCAAAGCGTTTCAAAGTGAGAGTATAAAGTAACTAGCGCATACGAGTTAAAATGAACAAAGTGAAATGAGAAATACTAAATTGCTATCACATTTTCCTTTGAATTTGTATGAATCAGACTTTGCTTTTTAATTAGCATAATACATTTATCCATTACAAGAGAAAATATATATAAATTATAAATTTCCGTGATTTATAATAAATTCATTCTAACATATTTTTTCTTTCTTTCAGATTCTACTGGGACCTCTGCATGCTCCTCCTACTGGTAGCTAATCTGATAATTCTGCCAGTCGCCATTAGTTTTTTCAATGACGACCTAAGCACTAGATGGATAGCCTTCAACTGCCTTTCCGACACGATATTCCTTATAGACATCGTCGTCAACTTCAGGACGGGTGAGTCGAATTATTCGATCAATTAATTTGCTATAAAACATGTTTTTACTTTTCTTTTATCTAGTTTTACTTTTTCTTTAAATTCTCAATATTTAATTAGACTTTATGATAAGGCTATTAAATTTATTTTAAACGTGCTCCGCTTAAAACTTTAAACTAATCTTTCAAAGTACAATTTGTAAGCAAGTACAGTTGTATTGTCGTAAAGCTTTGTATTTCTAGTGATATTAATAATGATTTTTTAAATTCTCTTCATTTAACATTTCCTTTCATGTCATCCCCAAAAAAATAATGTAAATTCTTATGTATGAATTAACATTCAAAACATTTACGCATGCATCTCTCTACAAAAAATTTTTTTATCACGCATTATTTTGTAATAATATAAAAAAATATTTAACAATTTAATTATCCTCGCAAAAATTCTTGTCCAACTTTTTTCCATTTTACCTATTATTTATTTCGCATAATTGTACATTTTTACAATTACGAAATTATTTTGCTAATGATATTATTTATGTACATAATGTTTTCCTTTCTTGAATAATAAATTTCATGAATTTTTTTTTCTTTCCTGAGAACTTCTCAAATTTATCTCTATCCAAGACTTTAAAAGATTCACTATCTCTTTGATTCTCGTGCGATTCGTCCTTTCTCCACATATAGACACCGGCAAAACTCGGATAAAGACAGAGATGGATCATCTACTTGGGCCTTACCGATCCTGATATGCACAATGACAGTATTGTTGTGCAGGGTAGAACACTCTCGGTTCCTTGACATTTCGTTATTATCTCGGGATTAATTTGAAATGTGTTTGAGTCGGCTTCACAAACGCGGAATTGGGTCACGAGCCGCAGCCGATGAAAATCATTGTATTATATTGCACGTTGCGTTGTGTCGATTCGACATGATTTAAAAAAAAATTTTGAGTCGTGTTATCTCCAGCGAATGTTTTACATATAATACGATACGTAACAATTATTTCTCTTTTGTACGTATTAATGGATTCGTTTCTCGCATCTCCAACTCCAGTAATTAAATTACACATTATATGCGCATAATGAGTGCACTGCAATATGTCAAATTAGTGGTAGGAGTCGTCAGAGCATATGGCAATAGCATTAGCGTTTTTCCGCTGGTTGGAGCTTTGCAAATTTCGGGAGATCATTGACAATGGAAACTGTATAAAGCACAATTATTTCGTTGCAGGTATAATGCAGCAGGATAATGCCGAACAAGTGATACTGGATCCGAAATTAATCGCGAAACACTACCTCAGGACTTGGTTCTTTCTCGACCTCATCTCCTCCATACCATTAGATTACATTTTCCTCATATTTAATCAAGTAAGTATATACTGTGTATCATATAGAGCTCGTTAACGCAACTTAAGCCGTTGTATAAGTTATGTTATTATCTTACATTTTATATTCAGAGAAAAAAATTATTACAGCATAACTTTCTCCAATTTGTCCAACCATAAGTATCAGAGATTAACATTATATTTTATATTATCTTATTATCTTATTATCATTTATATTTTCTTATATATGGCATGACATTTTTAATGGAAATATTAAAACACATATTAAGACAGAGTAATCTCGCGTTTAATTTTATAAACTTGACAAAGTTAAGCAAGAAATGATATATAAAATATGATATAAATGATATATATAATGATATAAAATATTTAAAAATATATGTGACAAAATATTTATAAAATCTTTATTTATTCTCTCAGTATACTTTCTCAAAATATTTAAAATTTATTTATTCTCAGTATAATTTCTCAATATTGTGAATATTTTGTACATTTAGTTACTGGGATTGAGGGATAAGGTAATCAATATTATGAAAACAAATTCGCAAGTTTCAGGACTTCAGCGAGTCCTTCCAGATTCTACATGCTGGACGTGCTCTCAGGATTCTCAGGCTTGCAAAACTGCTGTCACTCGTTAGGTTACTACGTTTGTCAAGACTGGTGCGGTATGTCTCGCAATGGGAAGAGGTCTATGTGAGTGTTTTGCTATTTATTATACAGCATTGTTCTCATTTTGTATATCATCTACGATACGTGTAGCTCGTGTAATTTACGTACAAAAAAAAAGAGAAGCGTTTGGTGACCTTTAACGATTCAGGAAGCTGACAAACGACCTTCCTCCTACAAAACTGCCACTTTTTTTGCCAACAATGGGTCCTAACGAGAGTTAATTAATGTCGATTGTCAGTTTTTTGGATCAGTCAATTGCAGAAATCGCCTTCCGCACTTACGCGAGATATTAAATAATTATGTCTATGCCTGATACATGGTCGCTGTAGAGAATTGAAGGAGATAAAAAGGGGGAACAACAGTCAGCCTTTTATACTTTATCTTTACATGGAGATTCCGTACTTAATCACAGGTGACTTGTTGAATGACAAGCGAAGTTCTCACGTCAGTGGTGGATTCTGTCCGTAGGAAATCTCTCTTAATAAGTTTTCTTCCGAATTTACGCACATTATTTTTACCTCATATATAAGGAGAATCTCTGCTTTTCCATCGTAAGAATTTCATTCAATCATTATCAAATATGTATATATATTTATAAATATATATATTTTACAATACAAATATTTTCTAGGTATGCAGTGAAAGTAGGAGATATACGCTTCTTGACAAAATAACTTTTTCAGCAACTTTATCGCAAAAGTCTCAGTCCACCACTGCGGAGAATCTTTTCAAACTGGGCTCTCAGATTATTAGATTATGTTTCGCTTTCCGTTGCTGAACATAATGAATGTCCCCACGGCTCTACTCTAGTATATCCCGTGATACCTCGAAACTTCCACTTTACATGAAAGTCTCCAATCCCTCCTCGTCTATCTTTCTCTTTCATGATAATAATAATCGTAAATTAGAGTCAGTCGTTTTCTCTCTCCCTCTCTCTTTCTCTCTCTCTCTCTCTCTTTTACTCGATCATATCGCATTGCACCGAGAGGAGCGTAAACAAATATATATGTAATAGTCATAATGATAAAAATAATACATCTAAACAAATAGTCCACGAATATAAGAGATAGCGTGACTAAATGGCAATAGAGGGGAAAAAAGGTACGCGTGCACGCGATTTCCTGCGGAATCATCGCTAGCATATCGTAAAATTTGATGGAGAATCTCGTGATATACACACATATACACATACATATACGATATTTTATTATATTTTTCATTGTCGTTCCGATGCACCGATAATTGTTGCTATTCGCTACTCATATTTTTTATTCGTTTACTTTTTTTGCTCTCGTTTTCTAACGCACATATCGATTTTCCGCACGTAATATAATGGTGCTACGATCCGTCGACGGGTAAGTAATTGTTTTTTCCAAACAAATGTACATGATGATCACACGATAATTGATATGACATGTAAAGTTTCGCTCTGTCGAGAGTCATTTTGAATAAGCTAAAAGAAAGAACAGAAAAAATGCAGTAAAGAAAAATATAAAATTAGATTAGATTGATTTTTTATAAATTCCCTTAATAAATAATACTTAATAAATACGCGCCTTTATCTCATATATTTCGAGTATGTCTTATTTCTTCAAACAGACATTAATTCTCAAATCAAATAAGTAGTTATTGCATTTATATAGAATAGAAAAAGAGTTTTTTTAATATAATGAATAAATTTATGCATTCTTGCATTAATAAGAAGATGAGAAATGTAAAATTTACGTACACATGATGTATATTTTGCCAGATCAATTATACAGCGAATGAACTGCAAGTTCATTAATTGTATGCGGTAATTGGGTTGAGAAATTATCTTGCTATCTTTCGGTGCTTCAGCACGTCGGCGATTGTGTTTACGTGGGATAACGTTTTGTGTTACATTATTTGTGCTCGCTGTTAGCATAAAACCGTGCAGCGAAGAGACCAACGAATCAATCAGGCTTTTCGTCCAATCAAGAGAGCAGTCTGTCATTCGCTGAAAATCTTGTTACGCTTGCCTTGAAACGTACTATTGCCTCCCTCTGCTTTTTCCTCTCTGTTCTATTCTGTTGTACAAACCAGGTATGCTTTAAAAAATGTATGCAATGAGGGAAAGCTGCGTTCTAAGTGCAATAGATTCCTTAAAGCGCGGATACCGTTCGGACAAACTACTATTCATAGAATAAAAGCAAAGGAATATGCAAAATGGATAACGATTCTGTTAAACAAATACAAATCTACGATCGTTATCCTGTATTCCCTTTCTTCACGAGATAGATGATTTCCCTATTAAAATGTAGGGACAAAATTTACTTTTTAATGAATAAAATTCCATTAATTCTTGTCTTATCTCTTCAAGCTTCAATAAAAAAATTTAACGAATTAATAATTTCGCGTGCCAACGACAATGAGAATAGCCGTATGCGTTTCACGCCATTTTCATATAGACATTTTAAAAATAATTAAAAACATTAGCTCATTTAGATTAAAAATAATCGAATTATTATCATCAGTTATCATATTAGATTTTCAGAATGCAAGAGTAAAATTTCACAACAAATGCGTGGTATTGTATCAAATCAAAATTCATTATTATTCAATTATAACAAACAGATCATAATATATAGACTGCTGTATGATATCTGTGAAATTTAATTTTAATTTAAATTTCTAATTTTGTCACAAAATATGGACTTGACATAAGAAGACCATAAGGACTAAGTAAACAAGAATTGCTTTTCTAGATGATACATCGTTTATGAAAAATATATTAACACATGGAAAACATAGCACTTATAACTTTCCATTTCAAATTTTCGAATATATTATCACATAAATAAACACTGGAAACGTAATGCGATTTTCTTTCATAATCTGTACATTATGTTTGTCTCTTCGTCGTCTAATTTTAAAGCGAGCACAGAGCCGTTAATGTGAAAATAGCGTAAAATCCCTATATCAGGTAGACATAAGAATCGATACATGCAAAAGAGATCACATGGCATATTATTACAATCATTACAATATTCATAACATTATATCTCATCTTATCATATCATCGAAAATCTATTCTCTCACTCTCTTTCTTTGTAATCAAATATCGTATAAAACAATGACGATCTTCCTATCTTCCCTTATATTATACGTTTTTTCACACTGTCGCACACACCTACAGTCCAACTTACTTAAACACGTACATACAAGATAATTTTGTATTGTACTCCTCCAATACACAAACACAAGAAAACAATATATACAAGAAAACGACTACTAGGCGTACTGCGAGAACACGTTTCCGAATGGGTTTGCAGATCCCCCTTTATCAACAGCCGGAGAGGCACTACGAGCGTCGGGCGACACCGCCCCAACCAGACCGAACCAGCAAGGTGTGCCTGCCTAGTAACCCTGAAACCAAGGCCAATTGCCCTTTCTTGATTCAAGCGTTCGTTAACACAAAACCTCAATGTGTTTCTACGTATATCTATATACGCTAGATCATTACTATTACTCACTGCTATTGTTTCTTTCGTTGTTTATTACTCATTGATTACAATTATTCTGATTATCATTGTCATTTTCGTTCTGTGGTCATATTTCTCGTTGAGTTCTCTAGAGAGCGTGCATAGTCTTGTCGTGTAATTTACAGTCTTCGGTACGAGGAATTTTTTACACATATACACGCCCGACATATTTAGATCCAGTTTATGAGTTGTAGCAGAGCCGATCAAGAGCTTTAACATTGTCGAGGAGTATCCGTAGAATAATACAGATCGAACAAGAAAGAGAGACTATGCCTATCCTTTAGTTAAATGTCATATAACTATATAATACTACAGATTTACAAGAGAATTTATCCCTTCCTTGTCTTTGTCTCGCGTAACTTTCTCAAAATTTAAATTTAAATAATTTGAAATTTATATCAATGAAACAAAGAGTTTTATATATGATAATCAATATAAGATTTATTTTCTTATAAAAAGACTTTCAACTGAAATTACGTATAATATTGTCATTTTACTTCTCTCATGAGAAATAAATGTAGTTGTAACTTTTCTCGAAAAATATATAGTAAATCTGTTAAAAATCGCGTAGGAAATTCTAACAAGCTCTTGATCAGTCTTGCCCTTAGTCCCGTAGTTCTGGCGATGCGACGTGTGACATGGATCACAGATTAGAAGATGCGATATTAGCTGAGAAGAATTCAGTATGTATTGATCGATGGAGAATGATAATGCTTGCAATATTATTCTAGTGACGATGTTTTCTATTACGTAACTATATATATAGTTGAAGTCCATGTTTCACCGAATAGCTGATTCCTCGCCAAAGTTCTTGAAAACGGTTTTTTGGTATGAAATGCTCTTGTTTTTGTCGGGTTTTGTTGGAAAGTTCCGTTCTGTGCTAGGTACTAACATGAGTTTGATTACGAATAGTCATTGTGTGAATTAATTGGTCGTGTCGAATACTGATGGATCGCGCGCCTCGATCGCGTAATCGTAGGGACGGCCGATCGCCGAAACAGTACACTCACCTTCCTCGAATTTCTCGACTCTCGATTATCACCGACCCCATAAGCCGCATAATTTTATTGGCCTGATACAATATATAGGTGCGCATGTATATTACCGTATGAATCAATAGCAGTTATCGACGTTCTTTCAGTGACGGACTGCATAATCTAGATACGTGTGCATGTAACTGTACCGATAGTATTATATATATAACGGATGCACCATTTCTTGACAATGGTAGCGCATGAGGTCACGGTGATGATTAAGAATCGAGAATTCGTTTGTCGCCATTATTTTGAAGTCTTACTACTTGAGGAATTTGGAAGAACTCAGCTGATATGCGATTATAAAATACGAAATGCCTCTAATTGTAAGAGGAATCTTGTGCAATACGAATAATTGTGCAATGAAAATAATGATACGAATATATGGAAAATTTCTACGAGGTATTCGACGCGAACCGCTCTACAGACGAGAAAGTTGGTTGGTCTAACCGTAGGTCTGCCTGTGAGTGTATAGGTGTATATTAACCCTATTTGTCCAAAATTTTTGGCGATGTGCCCATGTTCGGTGTGTGCTCCCAATTTTATTTATTCCACTGACATTTTACTCCTCTCTCCCTTGTTCCTTTTCTAGCAAACCTCGCCAATTATTCTGTCCCCGATTATGTTGTGTTCCATCTGATTGCTTGTTATTTCATGTTGTTTAGATATGTCTAATTTTAATCGAGAAGGAAGAGTTTCCAATACTCCATTTATTTTATTCCATTAACTTTATTTCAATATTTTACTTCCCCAAAACCCCAAAACGAAGAATACAAGAAAAGCCTATCGTTAATACTTTTCTTTGCCCACGTATGTATCCGTAATACTATTAAGTTTGATTTGTTTATTATCTCCAGGAGCACGTTTATATTATAATACTGTCGATATTTTTCAGCGTGTTTTTTTTTTATTACGCCATAGACCTGATCGTTAGATCCATTCTATGACAGGAGCGAGGGAAGTACGCGACAGCGCGCGGTCATTTAACGATTTCGCTACTCGACATGTGTATATATATATAAAAATATATACATATATATACATATATACATATATACATATCTTTGTGTGTGTGTGTATGTAGCGGATATAACGTTTCCTCAGTTTCGCGTGCATCTATCGCGTCTTGTTCGTCTTGAGAATTGATGCTCCTCCGTGATCACACGGCGAATCGTCAATGATGTAGTTTCGTCTTGATTCTATTGTATAACAAGAACAAAATTTTCTACAAGAGAGATGTTGTTCTTGATACGTGTTCCTAAAAAGCGAAGCATTTATCAATATTTTCCAGAATATACACGTATGTGTATATGTGTATGTGTGCGCGTGTGTATATATATATATGTGTATATATATATATATATATATATATATATATATGTCAACGTATACTGTACTCATTTGTACGTACAATTTGTCTTTCGCAAAAAGAGGCCGGAAATACGCAGGAGACAGTTCATTAATCGCAAACCCGATCTCGAAAGAGACGAGTCTCATTTTTTATTTCTTCTTTTTGCGGTATTTCTCGTATTTTTCACAGAACAAAACTTATCTCGCAGAAATAAGATTTAGACAAATGTATCAATTTGGAGAATTGTAAAGTTACAACTCTGAAACTATCATTTGTCTTGAATTAACATTAAAGTCTTAAGTATAAAAAAACGTACAGATAAAAATATAAAATAATGTTCTGATGTTATGTTGTTGTTTTGAGTTTAAAACAATTTAATTTTAAAAGTTTTCGATTTTTATAGTTTATTCATGTTTTAATTAAAAACTTCTAACAGTATAACAGAAAAGAATAAATAGGTAGTTCATGATGTAAAACAATAGAACGATAAAAAACATAAGAAAGATTAAAAAGAAAGATGCAAAAAAAAGACATGAAATAAACATAAAAGGATACGCTGGAAGGTTTAACATTATAATTATTATAATTATTATTGATAAATTTATCGTAATTTTCTACTTTATTTAATTTAGAATTGCATTAATTATCTTTTCCGCCAAGCGATATTTTATATATTACAAAAATGTGGCTTATATAAATACTGAATTTATCAACAAATATTTCAGCAAAATACTTTTACATTTGTGCATATATCTCCGAACTTTGACAAATTAGTAGGACCATTCAACTATTCCGTTTCTATGCTCGTCTTTCAATTAATTAACGAATGAAAAATGTCAAAAATGACGGCGATATTCTTTGTTTCCGCACATTCAGAGTTTCCCTTTACATCGTAATTAAATCAGATAACAAACACGAGTGCCTTTGTAAGCATGCACATTAGAGTTAACAACCTTATATAGCAGCAAACCGTCGCGATAATGGTCGGGGTTGCATTCACTATATAAATTAAAACGCACCCACGTGTGTGCGCACATTAAGAGACAATAAATCATAACCGTCACGCAGAAGCGCGCGATTATCACGCGATTACTACGTGATTTTCGCACAGCGCGCATTTAGCGCGGTGCAAATCGCGCGTTTCTTGACGCGGATTATGGCCCGAGATATATGCATACAAGTACAGATGTGGCAGAGCAAACTTGCAAGATTGATTAACAAGCGTATCCTTGATATTTTGTACGATAATCTCATCGTTATACAATGTCCTCTCATCTCGAGCTGCATACGGAAAATTTCTCATGAAAAAAATCTGATCATCTTCCACTTTTTTCTATCTTCGTATCTTTTGCATGAAATTTTTCAGAAAAATAAAGGAAAGCCTCCTCTCTCTTTTAGGCAAAATATTGAGTGTTTATCTCGTCACAGATTGTTTCTTTCAGCAGAGCAGCGATGCGCGCACATTACCTCGGCACAAGAGTGGATTTTTATATCTCTCTCATTGATATCATATTTACAGATTTCTCTCATCGATATATGAGTTTCACGGATCTAAATTAAGACACTATTTATCATCGAATTATCTGAAATAATTTTTCTCGTTTTAAGCATAAATTAATATACTTTTCATATTTCATTTTTTAGCTTTTCTTTAATTAATCCCTTTTTAATTCGATTCTACTAGATTATTAAATATTTGTCCAAGACAAAATAGATAACTACATATAAAAGTTTTAAATCTTCTCTATAGTTTGCGTACTTGGATTAAATTTATACCATTTTATTAAATTGAAACAATACCGTCGAATTTGCATGAAAGATGAGGTTGACAATATCGCGAGGCAGCAATCTTTATTAAAGTATATCAATATATTTAAATAATATATTTAAATAATATATTTAAATACGCTCGAAATGAAGATATACGGCTTTGAGACTCGCGTTTTTATAAATTTGCCACCACATATATATCCGCTAAATTCATCGAGCTTCATCCGAGCTTGAAAAGGAACTGTGGCTTCACGCTTGACGCGCGATTGCTGATTCGAGCTTTGATATTAACGAATGGCTTGTTGATTACTAATTATCTAATTCACGGATCACCGGATCGTTACTCTCTTGTTACCGTGCCGACTGTATTTTCACGTGCACAACACTCGCTCTCACAGAAATCGTTCTTTTACTTGTGCTCCCGCTCACACTTTACTCACTTTTCCATCTACTCGATCGGTCGATCGATCGACCGGTTGATTAATGACGAATCAATACTCGCGAGCGAGACAAAAGTTCATATCGATGCTGAACGATATACCTGACATGATTATTTACTCTATTTATGTGCTTGTATATGTGCCAGTATTATAGCGGTCAGGAAGGAGACGAAAAAATGAGAGGTACCAACATCTTATATAAATCATTTTTCTTTTTTTTTTTGTCTTGATTTATTTTAAGCGACAATACTCCAACGGACTTCATTGTTAGGAAAGTTGAAAATGACGTCAACTACCTTTGCACATCCGCTGGCGGATACCGCGATCGAGTACTGTATTAACGAAGGCACGATACATTAGGGATGGGATTGTCCTTCAACGTTCGTTGTGTGATGTAGCAACTGTGAAATGCACACGGAAAATTTCTGATCTCGCGAGAGACCAGAAAAAAATCGATCCTACAGCCGCCTGACAATTTCTTACTTCTGTCACACTGTATCACTATATACCATCTTGCAAAAGCTGTCAACTATAATACGTATCCGTCTATTACTAATTATACCGACGTTTCTCTCCCTCTCTCCTTACTGTTACTTTCACTCTGTTTCTTTCTATCTCTATTTCCTTCTCTTTCTTATATATACTGTTTCTGTAACTATTTCTGTCTCTCTTTCTCTGTCTCTCTCCTTCTCTTTGTGAAATTTCTACTAACCTGCCAAATTTCTATTAACCTGCCCTCTTCTTACTACGTCTGGCTATGTCCCGCTTTCTTTTGTTTCTAGATATTGCAGAACCTACAAAAAAAACGCACTGAGCGGAGGGGGCGCCTAAGTTCTGACAATATGACTAAAAAGAAGTCCGGTTTCAGCAAAAGCGAACTTATTTTTAAGGTAACCCGTCCTGACGAACGCGCGAGCTCACGTCCATTCGATTCGTCCATCGCGAATCGACCTCGGCGATTCACCATCCGGTTTTCCGCGAGACTCGATAGAAGGAAAAATCGATTCTTTCAATTTTCTCCGAGCATCCGACTGATGTAATTACGAATGAAAAATCCCCGTGCGATAAAAAGTCATCATCTCGCTTGTACACGTGCGTGATAATTTTTGAAACAAAAGTTTCAAAAGTAAATAAATAAAAATATTATTATATATATATATATATATATATATATATATATATATATTATAATAATATATTTTTTCAAAGCGACGCTTCTCTTCGCGAACACGACTGAAATACATATTTTTAAAATCTTATGAAATCTTATAATTTTCGCCTCTCAAGATTCAATTATCAAAAACCCATAAATTTGATAATTAAATCGATCAGTTATCTCGTTGGCATAATATTAGGAAAAATAATGAATTCGCAATAGTATCGCGGCCGCGACAATATGTGGATCGATTGTCAAAACGATCGAGTGCCCTTCTGCCGAAGTCTCGCGAAGACCAGAAGCCGGACTAACGAGGTTAATTGGACGGAGGAGCTGTACGCTGATTGGCTCGTTGGTTTAATTACAAACATTCAGCTTTTATATACTTTTTCCGCCGCATTATACATTACATATACCCGCAGCAATAGGCTATGCTTTTATACATTCACCATCGGCACCCGCCTAGCGATGAGAAAGTCATGTAACTATGTGTGTGATATATTCTAGAGATCCACAGAAATATATTTATTATATAGATAATAAAAAGGAAACGCCCGGCACACGTGTTTACGAGCGTGCATCATGTTTAGATGCCAGAGCACGGCGTAAAGGCCCCGATTTTTCGATGATCCTCGATCGATCAGCGCGATATTCGATACGTGCTCTCTGTGAAAGTGAACGAACGGGTATCGGTTGTCGATAGTCCGGCATGGCGTGTTTGACTCGAATTTTGATCGTCATATACTCGTTGAACCCTTCCTCTCTTTCTCTTTTTCTCTCTCTATCTCTCTCTTTATCTCTTTATATATATATATATATATATATATATATATATATATATACATGTGTATATATTTATATATGTATGTATATATATATATATATATATATATATATATATATATAATCTTTCTCTAACTTCTCATTCTAACTTCCTCTCGTTTACTATTCGACTGTTTGTTGTCTTTCCTCGATCTCTCTGTATCTCCATGTATATTGTACCCCCTTCCACGTTCCATGTACGATCCGATGGAAAACTGCAAAACAGCCTGTTTCCACGCACTATCTATTGTGATATGCTTTTGATCGCTAGACGGTGTGCACGATATCCTATGAAAACGAGCGCACGTGATTGGGCGTCCCTTCTCTGTCGCTTTGTTGCAAATCGCGCACTGTATTACCATATCCGAGGCGCATCGTTATCTTAGAAGAGATATCACGGAAACGAAACACACAAGCCACACGCGCGAGTGTTCAAGGAAATAATAAATAGATAGAATGCAACGAGTATGAGAGTAGACAGCTCGCTTCCCCTGCCGCTGCTCTGCGAATGATTTTTTCACCCTGCATCCCCTCGTTAGCCGCGTCTATCATCCCGCTCTTGCTGTACCCGCTCGCCCTTCGCTGTCGCTGCTTCTCGACCGCAGAAAGTGCACTCCCCCCCCCCTCCATTTTTTGTGTGATACTGGCTGGCTATGTATATGCTTGCGAAATGAAAAAGGGCGGACATGTAGAAACGGATGACAAGAAAGAGCGAAAATCCGGCTTTTTTGCTTCGTGGCTTGGCTTGCGCCGCTTAACTGACATCGTTTGACTTGGCAGCTGCGTTTTGTTTGTTGTCCCCTCATAATGCTCATAATAATAATCACTTGAAACGTCCCCGACGAAGCGTAAAACTCACCCACGATAAACATCTCTCCCTCGTGAACTCGTCGGTTGTTCTTTGTTGTGTCTTTAGTTTGCGCATTCATTTTTGTTCCGGTGTCGTTTAGAGCGTTTGTTGTTGCCACTTACAAATCGCCATCGATTGATTAGTGACGCAGACTCATTAATCGTTGATTATTCATTCATCATCGTGGAGACATAACAAATCAAGCTTTCATCTTTATTGGACTTGTGACTGTCTCGTAGAAGAAAAGGTTGTGATGTTGAGTTTCGATGTATCGTTTACCTTGTGTTCCCTTCTTTTTTTTTTCTCTCTCTCTCTCTCTCTTTCTTTTAATTTACAAAGGCACGCCACGCGCATACATATACATCGTATATGGCCCATTAATTCAGAAATGTTGAAGGTATACGTATGCGTGCGCGCGTGTACGTGTATATCAAACGTGTACACGATTTTTACTTGTAGACCAGGTAATGTATTGAACTATATGTCGTTTAGCAGTAAGTTTCCCGTGTTCTTATTTGTTTCCCGTAGGCGCAGAAACTGTACCATTGATCATCATTCATGGAGCATCACGATACCCAATAGATAATAGAATGTATTCATAATATTTTCGCCATTTAGAGACAACCAGAGCTCCGCGCTTCATCGAAATCCTACGGCGATTGGGCATCGATGCCGATCTCATTTTCTCTCATCGTCTTTTATATATTGCAATTTATTAATGATCTAAAATAACTATATGAAATCTTTATGAGATTCTTACTAGGTCTCCCTAGTGTAATACGCAAATAATAAAGCAATTTGATTAATTAAAATAATAATTTTACTCATAAAAATATATTATTAATATAAAAAATTGTTCCTGTGTATGATTTAAAGTTTAAGATTAAATGTGAAATTTTAAATTATTTTATTTGCTTTTTTGCGATCTTTATTGATATTTATTATGCAATATTTATATAACTCTATATCGTAATAAAATAGAAAGAATGAAATTTTTGTAAAACCTATACAACTAAATTATCTTCAGCAAGAGATGACACATTTGTCTGAGCAGATTATTATACGTCATTATGTTATTATGTCAGTACTACAATGGTTCTGTCACTTCTGCGGTTAAATGCAAGAGTAATTACCTGTCATATAGGGGACAAGTCCCACTGCCGTACGATTTCAACATCATTATACCGCGATTGCCCATGACCGTTGGTTTAAAATTCTTTATTTTATTTTTAAATTTATTAATAATTTATCAGCAATTTTTTCATCCGATGAGGCAAAAAGCAATACTTATAATTTTTTATCACAAAAATATAAAGCTTGTAATGAACAAGAACAACTAGCGAGAATGATAAACGATATCATAGACATTAAACAAAAATTAAGAACGCGAAGCTTCGCATTTGCACTCTTTATGGGTATTTGGGCAAACGCATTTAAGTTCGGAAATATCAATTTCGCCGCCGCATATATAACGAGATCGGGTTCGGGGAAATTTTCTTCGTACGTGCTCCGAGATGGCGTCGTATCGAAAATTCATTTTCGTCGTCGACGGAACACTCGAACAAAATTTCTCGAATACGAGAAAACCGCGGGTGCATGACACACTCATTATTGCGACGCACGTGTCGCGTTTCGTTGCGAGTGCTGCACGCATACGTGCGAAAACGGATATATATGTCATCGCCACACGTGTACATATGTTATGTACATAACCATGAACATGAATCGCACTTCATGATACCTTTGATGATCCTTAGATAACTTTATCCTTATCTCTCGATTAACAGGAGAACGCTGAGATTCAATCCGAGTCTATAAATAATTTATCGATTATTTTATTATGATTTCTCAAACAAATAAAATTAAATTAATCTGTCGGATAAATTTTTAATTGATGGTAAGAAGGATTTTCGTGAGATTCGTCATTTTATACGAATAAAAAGAAATTAATTATAAAATATAATAAATCTGCAATTTTGAAAGATTTTAATAATGTCATTATACACTTGTTATAATGTCCTATAATTAGCTTAAAACTTAAAAACGCAAATGATTTTATTCAAAATCAAATCACTTGTTAGGATTATATTTTCAATAATATTCTGTTGAATAATATTCTATTTTAACGCGCTAACATTTACTAGAAAAAAAGAATCTCTTATATAATAGTATATATTAATTGTTGAGAAAATATATATGAATCACATGAGAGAGTTGTGATCAGCAAAGTAAATCTGGAATCTCTCCAAGTTAATTTGGCAATTTAGCCGAAGTCGGAATATTCTCCGCGTTCTCCGGCTTTTCATTTTAGTACGGACAGATTCCCATATCGTACTTATTGCGCACAATGAAGCCGAATAATTGCAATTCACTTTCAAGCGAATTGCATCGATGTCACTAGATAAGCGTCGATTGTTTCTGTTTTATTCCGTTGTTATATTTGGCGCATAAGCGGTTTGAGAATCTTGACCCAACGAATTGCAAATGATCGATATTTTTTTGTTAGAGCATTTTGTAGAGTAATCAGTTATTTATCAACGTTTTTTAGGTTTCGTTAAATTGTTCTTTTTTGTGTGCCACGTGATGCGTAATTTCTAATACAGCATGCTTTTCTTAACGGATGAAAAAAAAAACCTCAAGAATACGAACGGCGATGACAATTTAGGAAAAATGTGACACTCTCACTCAAATTATCCGCATTAAGATCCGAATGAGTATTATTAGTGCTTAATACTTACGTTAAAAACAAAAATCATAATTTTTTAATTACATCTTAATTCTTTAAATTTCAATCTAAATCCATTAAACAGCAAGTTAAATTAATTTTTAAGATGCCACTATGCGCAAAAAAATAGACACTTATTTTTTAAATATTTATTCTAAAAGTTCGCGATTTTAACAGAAGTATATAATATTAAATTTACGAATTAATTTGTTTTCGTTTAAAGGATTAATTAGATTCGGCTTTTATCTTTCGTCCTTTTTTTCCAAAATTTATGTGCGAAACTTTCAATGAATAATTGCCGATAGACGATTGGATCTTAGTGACGGAATCCCTCACGTAGTTTATTAAATATTCCTAAACCTAAGCAAAAAAAAAATAATAGAACAATGTACTCAACGAATTATATATCTAACGCGTTTTTGTGCAACACTCGCTTATTTGCTGTACACTACGCAACCGGAGCTTTGGACAAACGAGAAGTTTTAACCAAAAAGTGTGAGAAATTCCGATACATTCCCAATCTGACACGAGAGTAAAGCTTTACCGTTGTTGTTGGCAGTTCCTGAATATGGCGTCGGTGTTCATGCGGATTTTTAACCTGATCTGTATGATGCTCTTAATTGGCCATTGGAGTGGCTGCCTGCAATTTCTGGTACCCATGCTTCAAGGATTTCCCAGTAATTCATGGGTGGCCATTAATGAGTTACAAGTAAGTAATTAATGTTATCATTTAGTACCATGGTTAATAGGCATATATATATTAATATTATAATTAGAAATTTTATAGAACTAAAATATAATCTGTTTTCCTTCAAAATTGCTTTTTTAAAATATATTTTCTTGTAGAATCGATAAATTTAATAAATTTTCTTTACAAATAAATTTTTTCAAGATATATCATCATGTAAAAATAAATAATAAAATCTTTCTTTGCGATAGTATAAAAATTATTAAAAAAAAAAAAATAAAAAAATTATTGCATGACTTGACAGTGTACCAATTTCTCGTAAATGTTCAAGAAACAAGATCACAAGAGGGTTTTCCGTAAACACTATGCACTTTGTATCAGAATTGGCGATCGATCGCCAAATGCATTTCCGTTACGACCTGCCACTTATTTACAGGACTCGTTTTGGCTGGAGCAATACTCGTGGGCCCTCTTCAAAGCCATGTCGCACATGCTGTGTATCGGATACGGTAGGTTTCCGCCGCAGTCCTTGACCGACATGTGGCTGACTATGCTCAGCATGATCAGTGGTGCGACGTGTTACGCTCTTTTCCTCGGACACGCGACAAATCTCATTCAATCTCTCGATTCCTCGAGAAGACAATACCGTGAAAAGGTAGCTACAACAGGACGATTATACGAAGCAACTCGCCTAGAGTGTGTATCGCAAGAATTTAATTCTCTTCTGGCTTGTCCGTAGGTGAAACAAGTAGAGGAATATATGGCCTATCGAAAACTACCGAGAGAAATGAGACAGAGGATTACGGAGTACTTTGAACACCGTTATCAAGGAAAGTTCTTCGACGAGGAGCTGATTCTTGGAGAGCTCTCGGAGAAATTGAGAGAAGTACGATAGAATCACACATTGAAACATTTCAATCGGAATTTAATCAAACTCTAACGTTTATATGTATATTATATTTCTGAAAGAGCTTTCTTTGACATCCGATGACCTTATGTACTAATGGAATATTGCTAATTAATAATATTAGTATTTAATATGATATTAATCTGTAAAATTCGTCAAAAGAATTAAGCACACTGAAGAAAAATATGTCTTTTGATTTGAAACGGTGTCCGTATAAAGATTATATCTTCTCTTTCAGGATGTAATAAATTATAACTGCAGATCGCTGGTGGCGTCCGTGCCCTTTTTCGCCAACGCCGATTCGAATTTCGTCTCGGATGTCGTCACGAAACTCAGATACGAAGTCTTCCAGCCAGGTATCGATTGTCGCTGTCTTTGAAAACGCGTTTTTTATCGCACCCATAAAACATCTCGTTTAGTGACACGGCACGGAAACGATATTTCCTTGCGCGTCGCACGAAGAATCCTACGTGTCATTAAAGCGGAAATGAATTTACAGGTGATATCATCATTAAGGAGGGTACTATCGGCTCGAAAATGTACTTCATACAAGAAGGCATAGTCGATATCGTAATGGCGAACGGCGAAGTCGCGACGTCGTTATCGGACGGATCTTACTTTGGCGAAATCTGTCTGTTGACGAACGCGAGGAGGGTAGCGTCGGTTCGAGCGGAGACCTACTGCAATCTTTTCAGCCTCTCGGTGGATCATTTCAATGCCGTGCTGGATCAGTATCCGCTAATGCGCAGAACGATGGAGAGCGTTGCCGCCGAGAGGTATAAGCTTTGGTTAGGTTTGTTCTATCGAGTTGGTGTGCTAATAGATGTCAATCATCATTCCCACTCCCATTTACTTTATTTGAGCATTGTGTATTGTCCGACAAAACGGAGATCAATCATTTGCTACCTGTCGAGAGCATGTCGATCTTTCCTCAACATATCGATTCTCGTATGTGTTGTTAGAACACAACGCTTGCTTTCAACATACACATACACACACATATCAATAAAATTTCGGTTGAAAAAAAAACAGAGAAATAATATTGTCACATAGATTGTTTTCTTTATGTGACTTTTTAAACGAGGCAATACATTGGGAAGAATCTGGGACAAATTTATGATGAAAGCGCACTAACTTACGATATTTATAATGAGTTGAGAGGGTTAAATCTTATTCGAAATGTCTGTTTAAAATATCGATGTAAAAATATAATCGAAATTTTTGCTTTTTATATTTGTAAAATCCAGAAAAGGATAAATATCCGCGATAGTATTTAAAGTCGGATATTATCCGATTAAGAGTAGTTCAGAATCTTAATTTAAAGTTATGATAAAAGTTTTACACTCTCGACACATTCATTACATGATAATCTTATTATAATTTGGCATAACATATTTTAAATTATTTCAATACAATTTTTGTCACACGCAACACAAGATAACAATAATATTAAAATAATTAATAATATTTAAATAATTTTCTCAGCAATGTTACAAGATTTCCACGAAAATATTTTCGAATATTATAAAATTTCTTCAATGAGTATTTATTTATTTATTATTTATTTATTTTCGCATTATCTATTTATGACAAATATAAAAATATAAAATTCAATGTGTGGCAAAAATAAATTCTTTTATCAGTTAACTTCATTCAATTACCTTTAGCAGTGCAAGTAGTATTGAAACAAATAATAATGACTATTGAGTACAGATGATAAGCGGCAAGCGCCACAAAACGGACAGATCATTGTGCTGCTAAGCGGTTTAGAGTTTTGTGTAAATAATAGTCGGTTATGCCCCGTGCAACATTCCCTACGCTTAATCATGCTCTCTTTGTAGGCTAAACAAAATTGGAAAGAATCCTAACTTGGTGGCTCATCGCGAAGAGGATCTTGGCAGCGAATCAAAAACGATAAACGCTGTAGTAAATGCACTCGCGGAGCAGGCCGCGCATGCCAGCGCCAGCGAAGAATCAGTAAGTATACGATCAATTATTCAACTTCTACAATTTGTACAGTCCTTTTATTCAAACTTCGTTTGAAAAAAAAAAAAAAGAGCAAATTTTTATTCACACAATTTTATCAGAAAATCAACGAAATAAGTCCATCTCTTGTCTTTACAATAAATAAATAAATACACAATCTATCACTTTATAAAATTTGGCATTTCAGGTACACAGTATGGAGCTTAGAACGCTACCGGCTTGTCTCTTGCCCAGACCAAAGTCTGAGAATAATTTCGCGAGCCAAGAACTTACGAGAGAAGGACGGAGAATCTTCCACAAGAGCGACACTTTCCACAAGGATTCGTATCAATGACGACACTCGTTTTACTAGCATACGCAGAGATACTAACGGCTCCATGTTGGAACAAAGATAGAACTTTCTTATCGATAAGACAGCTGGTGGTTTTGTGCCTGGCGCTTGGGCGATTCTATAGCAGCGGTCTATACATAGATATCGGCCATGCCAGTAGTTCTCTAGCAATCGATTTATAGCGCCTTCTTATATTAATCTGACGGCATTTTCGTCCAAGACCACAAAACTGACCAGAACAATCGAATCTTATGCTCCAATCATGATACAGATTTGTGCGAAAATGCAGCGACTAATATCAATTTAATATAATTTATATATGTATGATTTATATATGTATATATAAATTATTTACACATATATATATATATATATATATATATATGTATATATAATAACAGAGAGAATTATGTGTGTTAATATTTTATATATATTATCACAATATTTTATAATAATATATATAAAAAAAATCTCTCCATAATATATATATATATATATATATATATATATATATATATATTTCGCGAAATAACTTTCCGATAAAAAATTTTGAAGAATGAAGGAGAAATATTTTATAGACTCCTTTTAATTTTTCAAACTTTGTTCGATTGCCTTTGGAAGAGATGCCGAAATTCACACACTTGCGAAATTTTAGTTCATTACAAACAGCAAGATGAAAAAAAGAAGTCATCTGTATCTCGGTTGGAGAACATGGAGTCCCGTTTTACGCCGCGTCTCTTCATTGAGAATAATCGCCGCGTCACATCAAGTGCAATATTAAAGAAGGACGGATAGACGCAGCGAAGAATGAAGATCTCAAAGACGACGAAGAGCAGGCCTAGAAGTTTATAGAGAATATGTAGTATACACATCGTGAAAAATTAGGTATAATCCTAAATAACAATGTAATGATGCGTAATTCTCTCTCTGTGATTTTGCAAGTTGACGTTTCGCACTTTAGGAGAGAAAAAAAAACAATATAATCTACATGAATTAGGATGCTCTTTTTTTTAAGGAAACAATTAATATAGAGAGAAATCGTACGTCGTAAGACAGAGTATTCCGATTAAGTTAACGCGATTTAGCTTTAGCTTCGTATTGCATTAGAGCCGCGTAAATAAGTAAAACGAATATAACGCGTAATACTCCATACTCCGAGAAAAAAGTGCAAGAATGAAGAAGAAATTCACGTCAATGGGCTAATGTCTTACTGGGGAGAAGGAGTTTCTTTTTTATTTCAAACGCGAAATAATTTGCGTTCGGTACTCGCTTTATTTGATGATAGATCTTTCTTTATTTTGCTACGTTTTAATTCGCTTCGAAAATATTATAACGACACTAAGAGACCGAGTGATGATTACAAGTTGCGACTCAGTGTCGGATACATTCGATAGACCGTCCTGGTACATAAATAGGATCGGTGAGAGATGAGTGACTATGGTCGCGCGTTTGAAAATTCGTAAACGAATTTAGAGGTAGAGAAAGAAGGAAAGATAAATTACGATGCGATGATTATACGGATTAACCGGTTCTATACAAATGCTACCGAGGGCCCGAAGGCTGTGTTTACTTGTTGAGAGTCTTTTGGGCCGCTGTGGTTACACGTCAATGAATGAATATTAAGCGAAACGCAAGCAAAGTATCTTTTTATGAGATAAAGACAAAAAAGCGCGATGTACTATAAGAGAAGCTATAAATACTATGTAATAAATTATTATTATTGTTACGATTATATTACTTGCAATGATTACTATACCACTACCGCATAATTAGGCGATTAAATAAATGACAACAAATACAGATACACATATATATTATATATGAAATATTATGCATAGTGGTTAAATATCGTGTTGCGAGATAACTCTGTAATATTCAGCTACGTGCGAAATGGTCTGACACTGACTAAACCGACTAACCGATACTTACGAACAATTTATACAGATTGCATTATTTCCCCGGAGCTTAATCTATCGTATTTCGTTCGAACAATAATTTATAAACACCCACATCTTTGAGGCCAATTGATACCGACCGATCTCGCTTTGTATATTTTAAAGTCGCTAATCAAAGAACCAAACAAGAAAAATACTCTCTTCATTTTAAATATTTCATAGTACAAGTAAATTCGGCATAAAGAAATATGCGAAAAATTATAAAAAAATTATAGTATTATTTAATTTAAAACTATAAATCATATAACGTTTCTTACTCCTTAATCCTAAAGAGTACAAATAAATTTGTAGCATTAATATATAACGTGTGTGTGTGTTCCCATCTATATATAAAATAAAACAGCAGTCGTTTTTTAGAATAATTTATTTTTTAAAAACCTGTATTTTTTATTTATTTTTGAAAAAAATGATAAATCTATTTTTTATCAATAATTTACCAGCATATAAAATTTATAAATTTTGAACAATATAAATCATTCTCTATGCAACATTTTCTATATAACATTCTCTATATTTGTTGTGCTTTTTAGGATTAATAAAGAAACGTTTTTCAATATTGCATGCATTCAATATTGCAATATAATGCAGTCGTTTTTTCTTTTAAATCGAAAACTGCGATATTTTCTTTCACATGACAAGTAAAGTCAATCATCCTCTATTAAAAAATAACGCCCGTATATTATTTTTACTCACGTGATAACGAGATGCATTGGCGAATGCACGATTGAAAGAAAAGAGCCAAGTCGTTTTTTCTAGTTGACGCGAATACATGTACATATATCTCTCTACATAAGATTTTAAAAATTACACGCGCGTTTCATACATATACATATGTACACTTACACACGTGCGAGAGGGAGAGAAAAAGAGGAGAGAGCAAGTGAAAAAGAAAGAAGTACCTATTTTTCATGCAAGAGAAACATAGTTTTCTGTCATTATTTTGCACATCTTCACACGTCTCATCTTAAATAATATATATATATATATACATATAAATACTATATATATAATAGAGATGAGAGAGAAAGAGGAAAAAAGAGAGAATGCGTTTAAGAGGTCGAAACATTCCAATGGTAGAATAGTCGTAGACCGCATAATCGACGTTTTTATAGGTTTAATCTGTACGAACGGTCTAGGATTAATCTGCCGGTTCAGGCCTAAGAGAAGCGTACGCATTACTATATAAATATTATATAAATATATAACATTGTTACTGTGCTCTCCGAGACGAGTGCGAGGTGAAAGAACGAAGTGATGATATACAAAAAAAAAAGGGAAAGAGGAGAAGCTGTACTCTTACTACCACTGCTAATTAATAGACACTATTATTTAGCCACTGTCTACTTATGTCGATAAAACGATAAAAAAAAAACTGCGGCAAGAATGCGCTGTGTTAGTACTCTACTCACATACACAAACAAAATATATTACGTGTACATATATACCGTACGTAATGTACGTGTAAAGAGATACGCATCTATAGTGCACTAACAAACAAACAGGGGAGAATAACATTTTAGGATTAAACAGAGATTATGTGACTATTTGAGGTGTGTGAACCTTATTCCGTAAATGCTAACAGACAAGAGTGAGACATTATTAAATAAAAATTTAAAAAAAGAGATGAATAGTTTTTGTATTGAGAGATAGATTGCGCGTGAACAGCAAAATTGGATCAGGCCACGGGAAAACAGATCCGGAAATCGGAAATGGATGCATAGAGTCTGTACTGACGTAAACTGGCAGCCCGAGATAAAAACGCAGGTTTACTATATTCGATTTGAAGGATAATGCATTGAATTGCGGGGGCGTTAGATAGTCGTCCGAGGCTGATCGAAGTGCGTCAATTTAGCTACGGTCTATGCGGAATAGGACGTTGCACTAAAAAAAAAAAAAAAAAAAAAGAGGAGATCGTGAACGTGTGTTTCAAATTTCACATATCAATCGTTCTGTTGAAAGACGTCGCGAAAGTATACGCTGGATGCGAGAATTGTTTTTAAAACGCGCTCGATAAAAACGCTTGACTGGTATATAGCGTATATTATCGTATATTGATTTCTTTAGAATATTTAATCTCGCAATTCACATACAGCAGGCTTCAGAGGCTTGGACAAAATTTCCAATTACTGTGTATCCCGACTATCCTCCGCTAATCTCGCTCATTAAATATATCGTGAACAGAACGAATACGACAGAACCATTTCAAAAATTATCTTCCCCTTGAAATAAACTTCAACAATTTCCGTTTCCGGTTTCAAGGATCGAAAGCCATAAAAAAAAAAAAAACGACCGATAAAGGAACACGCGACTGTCCAAAGCTTAAATGAAACGCTATTAGATCGGCTGTTAAATGTTTCTTAAATAGTTTCTTGCACGGTGACACGATATTTTTGCATATAATATTATTTTAGTTTTAAATAAAAATATATTCTTTCCACTCTCTTGTACTATTGCGCGTGTAAAACATACGTTATTGAGTATATTAACACTTTTGACAAATGTGAATACGTTAAAAATAATGTACCTATAAAAATAGATCCACACATTATCCATTTTTCTACAACTGTTCAAGAAATCAAATGTGATTGAGACAACGAATTACGCGCACATTAAAGCTTGCGCATGCGGTAATTCTTGTGTAGTATTAAATAAAGATGTATAATCGCTAGACCTTAATAATTGCACGAGTGCAATGGTGCTATCAAATGCCAGTTTTTTCTAAAGGAGTCATAAATAATAGCAAATGTGTTTCGCAACAATCAGAGAAGTAGCAATTAATTCTCTGCAATAAATCTTAAATAGAACTTATCATATTAATTAAATCTTCGTTAAATATATATATAATTCGTTATATCAATTTATCATATTATTATTTCAGTAAAATTATTTCAGTAAAATTTCTCTCTTTCGCATTATTATATTATTCTCTGAATTATTCAAGATTATCGACACATGAAATATTACTCGATTCTCGCCATATTTGTGCCTCTCAGAGCTCTCAAGTATCGTGGCACCGTGTGAAAACTAGGACAGCTAGCCGGGAAATCTGTGCATAGTACGCCTTGTAAAAAAATAAAATGAAGAAAACATTACCCTAGCGTCAATTTTCTATGAAAGAGTTTTTCTACAGGGTTCACACCATGAGCGGGAATTCGACGTCGTGCTTATGGTATGAATATGTACGCATGCTGTGCGACGCTGGTACGAGTCTATCGGTGTTTTTTCTATTTACACGATATTACGTTTGTATGATTACGATTGTTTCTCGCATATGAAAAAAAAGCAGCGTGCAACAAAGAAAATTAAAATAATGAGAAATTTGCTAGAGATCGATATAATTG